ATACAGCGTGGCCAATACTGCGAAAACTCATACTATTTAATGTTTAAGACTTTAAGTGTATACTGTATACATGATGTAAGTGTATAGGTAGTGTGTACATGATGTAAGTGTATACTACGTTCGTTAATCGTTACCCTATATTTCATTTTTCGGCAATAAACAAAACCGGTTACATTACATATGTTGTAAAAGAGTATACGAACTACGAGTACAAACTTACGAGTATTGGAATTTGAATTTTTATAATAATATTCAACCTATGAATTTTTTAGACCACTATCCTTGTACCAATTTTTTCAAATAGCATACCTATAGGTAATGTGTATAATTGATTTTTCATAACTCATTCAAGTTATTTTATGTTAAGTTATATTTACATTTTACATAGATATTAATCAATCATAGTATGTGGGGAGACCAGGGCCAAGCTCATAGGTTAACTTTATGCGTCAAAAAATGTTGTCCCAACTATTATTTTAAGAACTATTTTTTTAATATAATCACAAATTGATTTCTCAAATTCATTATTATATTCCTTCAAAAATTGTAATAAGCACTCAATTAATAAAAATATGAAAAAATTTTAAAAGTGAGAACATATGGTGGTGCAAAAGTGTTTACACAATGAGATAAATAAATAATTTATGCTAATCCATATTATCATAATTGGGTACTTTCCTGTTATACGAGACTACCTCCGTTATCGCCACTACCGCACTTATTTTGTGAAACATCACAATCCTGTTATCTAAGACTACCAAAATGGTACTTCCTGTTATACGAGACTAACTTATTTTTCTTGCCTTCTTTGATATATTTTTTAATAATATGTATTGTGGGGATGAAATAAAGAAAACATTTAAATAGATAGTAATTATTGTTATTCGTAATGTATTTTACATGTTACACGCCAAAGTACCAAATTTGGCTCGGCGTACAGAAAACAATAAATTAATAAAATAATAATCATAATACAAAATGGTAAATCCACAAATATAATAAATATAATCACAGCTTATGGATATCGTTCAGCTATAATAGCAGCTAAATAAGATAGGTAGTCGCGATAATAGCCGTAGTTTATGGCATAACAGGATAGTATAATTTTGGTAGTCTTAGATAACATGATTGTGATGTTCTCAAAAAACAGGGGTCTCGTATAACAGGAAAGTACCAATAATTGTATAATATGAATGCGAACACATATTAATAAATTAGCCCACAATAAAAAAACAACATTTTTTTTTTTCATTTGAAATAAACAATCTATACAGTTTTGCACAATAATTTTATATTAAATGTTAAACAGAAAAGAGGAAAGTATTCCACCTAGAGGTACATCCACTTTGAATGGTGCGATTTCTGAAGTGTCGAATTAAATTGTACTTGGAAATGTCTATCAGTTAAATACGATTTAATTAATAGGTATAGTGGGGTGGGAAGATAATTTTTGAGTTTAAATTGGAGACCTTCATGCCAAACTCGGTCGAAGGTTTGTGCAACGTCTAGAAAAATACAAGAGCAATAAAGCTTTTTTTCAAGGGATGTAGAAATAACATCAACAACTCGATGTAATTGATGTAACGTGCTATGTGAGTTACGGAACCCGAACTGGGTGTTCGGAAGTATGTTGTTAGTGATGATATGTGGAACAATGCGTCTTAGAATAAGTCTTTCTAAAACAGTAAAACTTTTGAAAGGAAAGGCAAGACTCATTGGTCTGAATGAGGTTGGGGTATCGAGTGGTTTGTCAGGTTTAGAAAACAGAACTATTTTAGAGAATTTCCATATAGCATCGGAAAATTTGACAGTCTGAGAATAGCATTAAAAATATATGTTATTAGTTCTATGGATTTTTTGGGAAGGCACTTAAGTACTTCGGCCGTAATCAGATCAAAGCCGGGTGACTTTTTTAGTGAGTATTTTTGGATGGTCTGTTTAACTTCATTTGGGGTGAAATATTTTTCTGGTCGGCTTATTGAAGGTGGTAAGTTTAGGTAGGTCGTAGGTGTTTACCTCATCAATGTGTTCAGGTGTAAGTATATCATGATGTGGTTGGAATGTTTCGTGAAGATGAGCTTTAAAAACTTCGGCCTTATCGTTGTCAGAGAAGGCAAATTAATTATCTGGTTTTTTTAAGTGGGACTGAGGGGTGTCTGTATTGAAGTAGTTTTTTGGTTTCGCGCCATAAGCTCCCGTCTATAGAGGAGAGTGAGGTCAGTTTTTGTTCGTATATGTCAGCTTTATTCTTAGCTAAACATTTTTTTAATGAATTTGCTAATTTATTATGTGCACTTTTATGTGAGGGTAATCGTATGGTTTGGTAACGTGCTCTAGCTCTACGCTTTTCGACTATTAATGAGCGGACTTGCTCAGAAACAAAAGGGTGTTTAAGAGCTGGGTTCATGGTGGTGTTTAGGGTGTTTGCTTTAGAAGCCGCTGATTGAATGAGGGTTGTTAAATTATCAACTGCGTCGTCAATCTCCTGAGCAGATTTTAAGCTTATTTTTAAATTCGTGGAAGTATTAGGTATGTACATTTTAAAAATTAAAAAAAAAATCATAAAGAAATTTACAAATTAATTAATTTGGAATAAATGTATCATAAATCATAATCATAAACAATATAAAATTTTACATAACAGTACCTAGGTATATGCAACAATAAAAAGTCACTCTGCTGTACAGTTGGCTACAAGGGGGTCACTGTATAATGGACGGTATTAAATTTTAATTCAATGATACAATATCATTGTATAAGAAAAACGATTCTGAGCGGAGACGGTATGTCAGTCTAGGTATAAGACATATTATATACTATTATCAATGGCATTAAAAAAAAAAATGTACCTATAATAAATTCCAAATTAATCATATCACAATAGCCAATAGGTACTTATAAGTTATATAGTTATAACTTGTTATAAATCAACAACAAACCCTAATACTATCATAGATATATAATAGTATACTTTAGAAGTTTCAATTACCCACGAATAATATTATACAATCACAACAAAATAACTAAAATAGTTATTCTAAGTTTTGAATATGTAATTTCGTCCAAATTTTAACTTAAGATGACTATAAAAATAAACTATGCTTATATGTTTTTTAAATTTTTTGGTAACAGAATAAACTACTTAGGTGGAATCTTGTTTTACATTTTCAATCCTTAGATATAAGAGTTGAACATTTTATAAATTTTTAATTACAAAATTATTATTAAATTTTAAATGTGATCAATTTTGTCAAAATTTGAACTTTAAATGCTTATAAAAAAAATTGTGCCTATGTATTTTTAATATTTTTCAACTGCTATTGTAACAATATATCAGGAGATTTGCATTAAATTTTCGCGCTTTTTTACCCAACAAATAAAATTTTATTGATATTTATAGAAAAAAAAACTAAAAAATTTAAAACTGAAAATGTCCGTAAAAAGCTCAAAAAGAGTCAAAATTGAAAATATTTTCAAAATTATATTTTGTATAGGAAATGAAAATATAAACATTCAGTGAAATTTTCAAGTATCTACAGCCATTAGTTTTTTAATTACAACAAAATAAGAAAATCGTTACATGAGAAATCTAGTGAATATCAAATTTGTAAAAATATGAATTTCAAACGCTCATAAAAATTCACTTTGAGTTTCTTGTAGACATTTTTTTTTTGATAAAGGTAGAAAAACTTATGAGGAATCTTGTATTACATTTTCATATCTTAGATTTAAAAACTTTTTATAATTTTTATTTTCCATCCCTCCACTTATTTTGTTGAAAATAATACACCCCCGTTTTTAATCATATTCAAATATTATCGATTTATATTAGTGTTTTTCATAAATTTTTTTTAATTTTAGGTTCTGAGTGGAACGATGAATGTATTGATTTTACAATGATGTGTGTGTTTTTTTTTTATTTATTTTTTTTTTTTTTGTCTGTCACCTTTTAGGACAGTAAAAGTGCTTGGATTTTCTTCAACAGTATATATTTTCTGATAGGAAAATGAATCTAGTTGGTACTTTGGGGGGGGGGGAGGTCAAACGTAAAATTTTTCCAGTAGTGAAAAACAAAAGAAAAATTAAGGAAAAACAGAAATTTTTACCCAAAATCTGTTTTCGAAAAAATTGATTTTGGTTATTGGTGCAACTCTTAAACAAATTACCTTAGGTATATGAAATTTTGACTGAATATTTATATTAGTATGTTCTATACACCATAACTTTTTCCAAATATTTTGACTCATTTTGAGCTGTTTACGGGCATTTTTAGTTTGCATTTTTTTTAGTTTTTTTTTCTATAAATATCAATTAAATTTTATTTGTTGGTCGAAAAAGCTTGACAATTTAATAGAAGGCTCCTAGTAAATTGTTTCTTTCAATTTTTTTTATAAGTATTTAAAGTTCAAATACTGACAAAATACGTAAAAATGACGAAAATTTTGCAAATTATTTCGAGTTAGGAATTCATAAAAAATTTTCTTTTTAAATCTAAGATTTGAAAATGTAATACAAGATTCCTTATAAGTAGAGCCCGGATTTATATGCATTTAAAAAGTGTCAAATATGATGCAAATATGCAAAGAAAAAGTGGCTAAATATGCAATTATATGCATTATGTTACACTTTATAAAATGTGTTTTTTTTTTAAAAAAAACCACACTACTACACCAAAGAAAATTCTAAAAATGTTAACAAAAACAAAAAAAAATGATTATATCCACTGCTCTGTATTTCAAATCATTTAAATCAATCGAAAACATTTAGGAAACTTAAAAAAGAGAATACAAATAAAAAAACAACTAAAATCATACATAAATATTTTAGATCATTTAACGTTACTCTTAAAAAACTAATGGAGAACTTAAAAAAAAATACAAATCTTTTAATATAACATTTTTGAAAATTTAAATATTTTAAACATTTTACATTAATAATATTATAAATTTTAAAACTTGTCAGAACAACACTAAAAATTAAAATATTATAATAGGTTCTTTTTAATAATTTTCATAACAGTGAACAATAATATATTTTTCCATGTTTTCTGATGTCATGGAAGTTCTTTTTTCAGTTAGAATTGACTTATACGTACTAAAAGACCTTTCTACATCCACCGAAGTTATCGGTGCAAACTTCATACATGAACACATAGAAGGAGTTAAATTAGATGGCATAATACTGTTTTCTTTACCTGACAAAATTGTTGTTATCTGCTTCGCGGTTTGGAATCCAACATTTTTTTCAATTAAATATAACAATTTTTCTTGAATTATTTTTCCCTGTTGTCCTGGTACTTTTTCCATCGCCATTATTAGCGACTTTATTCGGGACGCGAGTGTGTACGTAGTACGTACTACGTATGTTTGTTAATACCTATCATATCTATTCATGCTCCGATCTCATACAGTGAGGTAATTCCAAAATTTATTGTAAAATATAATTATTTATTTATTAAAAACCTATTAAATATGCATGTCATATGCATTTATGAACAAATATGCAAAAACCCTCGAAATATGCAAAATATGCAATATAAAATTTGGTGTTTAAAATCGGTGTGGTATGAAACGTGGACATTTTAAACCCCCATAGACGTGCATACACTTAGTACGAACATGCAAATGCATATAAATCCGGGCTCTACTTATAAGTTTGTCTACCTCTATCAACAAAAAAAAAAATGTCTACAAGCAAATAAATTTAAATTTTTATGAGCGTTTGAAGATCATAATTTTTACAATACTGGATATTCACTCGATTTCTCATGTAGCGGTTTTGTTATTTTATTCTTATTTAAAAACGAATAACTGTAGATACATGAAAATTTTACGTTTAAATAAAAATTTTAATTTTTTTAAAATTTTATTTTATGTTTAAATTTTCATTTTCTATAGACTATAAAAATTATATTGTATAATTATTAATTAGTAATTACTATCATGGTTGGATTTCAAATAAATAAGCGCCTTTGGTGAGAGTGGTATCCCCGTAAATTATCACCGTAAACACTCCACTTGATTGACTCGTTATTTGACGATAGAATTAATAATAATTATACTTATTATAGTACGATACAATTATTATTCCAATTCAATTTAACGAGATTTCCCAGGTAGGTTTTCTAATCTTGCGTCCAATGAAATTGTCGTCCTATAATTAGAGAGCCTAGCCAAACTTCAAGTACCTATACTGCTTTATATAGGTATACGAATAGCTATTTCAATGTGCATTGATTGGATACGAGGTACAGGTATAACGTCAAGGTTCTTACGTTTTCCCCAGCTTTATGTAGCACGACAAATGATAATTACTATAATAGTTGTAGGTTTCAAACGATTGACCAATATAAAATAAATTAAACCAAATAGAATATATACAATACCCGTTATATTGTGTCCCTGCAAAAGTGCAATGTAAACAATTGCTTAAGAACTATTGAACAAAATGTAGGTACTGGTTATTTTTGGGCGAAAGGTGTTTTAAACCCTAGTTAATAGTCAATACACGTTTTTTGAACATTAATCTGATGTCTTCAATGTTAATAGTTATTAATTAAATCGATTGATGTAATCTGGTCATCTGGCCCAAAAGTGGAAAATTGTTATATAATATAATTAAACTGATTGAATACCTACGTCATGTATTTTACTTCCAAATATGTAATATAAGTAGGTACCAGGTATACTTTATACTTTATATAATTCAGCAAATCCTATTTTTCAAACCTTTAAGCTAGGTATAATAGGTAATATCATACATTTTCATTACTAAATCATTTTCAGATAAAATTTGTCGACAATTAAGTTTAGAAGTTTTAGAAAAAAATTTTAGCGTAAAACTACAAAATAATATCCTTAGAAATATTAGCTGATACTGTCTCCGTTCAAAATGGTTTTTCTCATGTATAAGTATGCAACAATGAATAGTTTATCATTAAACTCAAATAAAGCACATCCAAGTGACCTACTCCATGAAGAGGTAGATCACCGAAAAACTAATCTACCACTGACCATATACCCGGTAATGCAATAAGCATGTCATCTTTTGTTTTAAATTTTTAAATGTTCTATGAAACTTGTGAAGTTGTGAACACTTTATTAGATAACCTGTTATAATTTATAACACATAAATTTATATCTTCATGGGTGTTGTAGGTAGTACATTATAAATGTATAAAAATGTTGGTAGTTTCGAAAGAATCATATTATTTCAAAATGTATACATAAGTAAGTAGGTAGTTATAGTATTAACATAGTATATCTTATATATATAAATATAATTATTATTAATATTTACAAATATTATAAATATGATAAATAATCGGATGGTTCAAATGGTCACGAGCTTATACGGGTGATATTATGCCAGACGTATGTAATATTAATAATTTATAATTTATTGTACAGCATGATTACAAGAGAAAAACCATATTTCTATTTATTATGTGGAAGTCTCCTTCTATATATTCCTCTAAAAATACATATGAATCTATTGCCTCATATTAGGTACCTACGTCCGATCAACGTATCCAAACAAATATTATATAGCAACAGTACAAGTATCTAACAACATACCTTTTGTACGTCATGACTCATGGTTGATGGTTTGTATTTCAGGTTGGAATTAATATCATTTTTTCTTGATAATATGATATTATTAGTCAAAGTGTTAAACTCTAATTAGAACAAAAAAAAAAAAAAAATATTAAAAAAATATTTGATCCATGGTTTTAATTAATTTAAACTCGTTTTAACAGCTTGTACATTTTATTATTACTTTTATAAGTTCTAACTAATAAATACAAATATGCAATATTTATTCTGCAATTTTATCGGTTGGAAACATGAACGTTGGATACACATGATTGCGCTCATTCCGATATCGCATTCCTTCATTTAATCTTCGTTAGATTTCGTATCCATAATAATTCTTGCAGGTAATATGCAACAACTTTCAGTTTTTACCTAAAATATTCAAGATTCGTTCTTATAGTATAATGTAGTGAAATTGAATTCATTACATTTACATTTGCACAAGTTAATCCTACAATAACTACAAAATGTTAGTCTTATAAAAATTCACGAGCAACCGGTAACCGCATAATATGGTGACTTATATATTATATTCAGGGGCGAATTCGGAAAATTTGCGCCCCAGGGCAACATATTTTGGCCACCCCTACCCTCTCCAAAAAAAATAAAATAATATATGCAAATTTATTAAACATCATTCAAAAACATTTTTTGAGGTTAAAGTGTCATAACTTTTTCTCCAAACAAACTTTTTCAACTTTTAATAAAAAATTACAATCTTCTGTGTGCTTGTTAAGTAACAAAAATATTAATAACATTGATATGATTACGTTTTGTTGTAATGTAATTTTCAATATTTAGGATTACCAATGCATTTAATCTTTCCTCTTTTATATTTGATATTAGGTAAGATTTTACTTATTTTAAAGCTGAAAATACCGTCCAGTGGAACAGTTACTACATGATGTCCAATGTACATGATAACGTTTTTAACGTAAAAGCAATGTAATGAAACATTTAAAAAAAATCATTATTTTAAACATTTAATGAAAATTTTGTTGGCTTTTCATCAACTTCGAGGTTCTTTATATGTAATTTAAAGTGAACACATTCATTGGGGAAATAACATGAGGATAAATCATCTATACATAGGTATTATATATCTTAAAGACATTTTGCCTGTTCTAAGATTTTTATGTTGTTCAATTTTTCCAATATTAAAAGAAAAACGAGTACTTTTTAAATAACTATAAAATATAAAACAAATATTATATATTAAAGAATTTCATACTTCCTTCCCATTTTTACATAGACTGTCTGTAGTATTGATGTATTATTAATTATTATACTATACAGGTAGGTTAAAAACACTGCTTTGCAGTTTTTATTTTAAATTCTTGTCATATATTTTTAGATTCTGAGCTTAACGACTAGCGATGATTGTAGGTATTGATTTTACAATGATGTTTTTTTTTTGTGTCTATAAACACTTTTTCCAGTAGAAAAATGATATATTCATCAAGTTAGAGGTTTCTGGTAGAAATAGATTCAATCTAGTTGGAACTTTTGAGAGGTAAAAACTCAAAATTGAAAATTTTCAAAAGTTTTAAAAATAGACTGGTAAATAAATACTATATTATTATTATTATTAAAATAATAATAATATTTTTTGGATACTGTATAATTACTAACAAGTTAAACAGTCTTAAATTATTTATTTTAGTTTTATTTCTATAAATGTTGATAAAAAAATTATTCGTTTGGTTCAAAATGTCAAAAAAGTAATACAAGGTTCTTCATAAGTATATATATAGTACCTACTAAAACCAAAAAATCACTGATAATTTTACTGTTTTAAAATTCAGGATAATAGGTATAGGTATTCAAAAGCAATGATGTTGCAAACATGAATTCAACCTACGCGTTTTATATTACTAATAACAATATTAATATTACGATATGAAATATCCCAGACACACCGTCTTCGTTCAAAAAAATTTTCGTACCTTTAGATTCAATGATAAATCATTGAGTTAAAATTGAATACATCAATTACATCAGTGACCTCCTCCGCACCTACTGTACAGAGAACTGCAATATACGCCAGTACTTACCCATCTGCTCACCTTTTTAAAAAACTAATATTATGTCGTCAGTAAAAACTTGTTTGATATTTTCTTATAAATTCGAATTTTTTATTTTTGTAATCGACATGTTTGTCAACGGTAATTATATAATATGTTAGACATGTTGTAACGATGAACAATAAAATATTAATATATTACATTTTGAAAATATGTTATAAACCTGTATTGTGATTGTCGAATATCGTTATTATTAAACGGGTAAGGATACTATTATTATAAATTTATAATTTATAAACAATATAAGGTCCTACGAACGTATTTACGTATGATACAAACATTGATACATCTTAAAATGGTAAATGTTTATCGGGTCACACTTCAGATAAAATAAAAAAAAAATACTCGTAGTTAGTAACTACGTTAGTATACCTACCAAACCCTGAGCTGCGATTCAGATTATAGTATTATACCTTTTTTTGTAATTATCTCAGGGACCCAACTATGGCGTATGAAGCAGGGGTTTTACTTTTGACATTCACTGTTTACATTTTGTCTTATATTCAAGAGTATTTTATTAATAGGTAGGTACCTACGTCACGTTAAACTGTAAAAGATTAATGCAATTTTCAATCGGATAATATTATTACCCACCTGAATAAGCTGTGTTTTAATAAACAGAAAAAC